CGTTGTTCCACACTCTCCCATCTCATCCACTCTCCCTGCTTGGCCTGGGAAATGGCCTTTATACACCTCATCCTCTCCTCCTGCTTTCGCACCTCGTTGACTACCAGCTTCCTCCTTTGAGCTGGGCCTGCCTTGTGCCATTTCTCACACCCCACTACGCTGATTGGACATGATGAACCGGGAGCTGTGGATTTTTGCAAAACAAATAACACGCTCCAGGTGGAGTTAGAAGCTCGGGTTTTTTTCTAAAACCACTTTGTTTATGTTGTTCTGTCAGATCATAGTGTCGATTTCACTGAATATGATAAAAAAAGTTGCCGACGGCAGCTTTAAATAAGAGTATTTTGCATACATGAAATGCTAAGTATTAATGCAAAATTAATCAGTGAAGCTATCTTCCATTTTTTCATGAAAAACTACAGAAATGTCATTTCCACCACACTGCCCTCAGTGGTGGAAATTACATTTATGGTTACAAAGTACAATTGATTGATTATATTATAATGTATTACAATACTTTTTATATTTATATTATGATATTACATATATATATATATATATATATATATATATCCCCCTCCTCCTTGGACTGCCACCTTATCGTGGTGGAGGGGTTTGAGTACCCGAATGACCCTAGGAGCGATGTTGTCCGGGGCTGTTTGCCCCTGGGAGCAGTTCTGGGAGGCCATGGAGGAGGACTATCGGCTGGCCTCAAAGTGATTCTGGCAGACTGTCCGGTGCCTCAGGAGGGGGAAGCAGTGCCCTACCAACGCTGTTTACAGTGGAGATGGCCGGCTGTTGACCTCAACCGGGGATGTCGTCGGACGGTGGAAGGAATACTTCTAGGATCTCCTCAATCCCACCGACACGTCTTCCATTAAGGAAGCAGAGGCTGAGGACTCGGAGGGGGACTCGTCCATCACCCAAGCTGAAGTCACCGAGGAAGTCAAGAAGCTGCTCGGTGGCAAGGCCCTGGGGGTGGATGAGATCCGCCTGAGTACCTCAAGTCTCTGGATGTTGTGGGGCTGTCTTGGCTGACACGCCTCTGCAGCGTCGCGTGGCGGTCGGGGACAGTGCCTCTGGACTGGCAGACCGAGTGGGGGTCCCTCTTTTCAAGAAGGGGGAGCGGAGGGTGTGTTCCAACTACAGGGGGATCACACTTCTCAGCCTCCCCGGGAAAATCTATGCCAGGGTACTGGAGAGGAGAATACGGCCGATAGTAGAACCTCGGATTCAGGAGGAACAGTGTGGTTTTTGTCCCGGTCGTGGAACACTGGACCGGCTCTGTACCCTGTCCAGGGTGCTGGAGGGTTCATGGGAGTTTGCCCAACCAATCTACACGTGCTTTGTGGATTTGGAGAAGGCATTCGCCTGTATCCCTCGCGGCGTCCTGTGGGGGGTGCTCCGGGAGTATGGGGTCCGGGGCTCTTTGTTCTGCTAAGGGCTGTCCGGTCCCTGTACGACCGGAGCAGGAGCTTGGTTCACATTGCCGGCAGTAAGTCAGACTCCGGCAGGGCTGCCCTTTGTCACTAGCCTGACGTCGTCATACTCAGACTCTAGTCAGAATGTGAGTCTGATGCTGCTCCATTGGGCTGTGTTTATGGGGCGTTTCAACCGAACCAGGAAAGAAAATGCATCTGCACTCAATTGGATCGACAAATGCCTTGATCGCGATTCTCTGTTCCTCTTTTAAAATGAATGCACTGTCTACATCTTCTATAACAGACGCGATGGCTGAATCTACACATCTCAGTTCTCCAGCGGCGGCCATTCTTTGTTGTAAACGAATTCAACCCAAATGCTCTTTGGTGACGTGGATGATTACGTTACTGTTGATCATCTGTCCATCATCGCATAAAGCCCGCCTTGACAATTTGATTGGTCCGAACAGCTTTGATTCGGGCATAGTTGCTCCTCAACGGATCAAGTCAAGACCGAACTTCCCATCCTCAAATGCTGTGGGCAGGGCTAAGTTCGGCTGGTATCCAGGCTACTTTGTCACCGGTTCTGTTCATCATTTTTATGGACAGAATTTCTAGGTGCAGCCAGGGGCCGGAGGGTGTCCGGTTTGGGGATCACACGATTTCGTCTCTGCTTTTTGCGGATGATGTTGTCATGTTGGCCCCATCAGACCAGGATCTTCGGCATGCACTGGGACGGTTTGCAGCCGAGTGTGAAGCGGCTGGGATGAGAATCAGCACTTCCAAATCCGAGGCCATGGTTCTGTCGGAAAAGGGTGGCTTGCCCGCTTCAGGTTGGTGGAGAGTTCCTGCCTCAAGTGGAGGAGTTCAAGTATCTTATGGTCTTGTTCACGAGTGAGGGAAGGATGGAACGGGAGATTGACAGACGGAACGGTGCAGCTTCTGCAGTAACAGGGTTGATGTACCGGTCTGTCGTGGTGAAGAAAGAGCTGAGCTGCAAGGTGAAGCTCTCGATATACCGGGGGTCATGACCGAAAGGACAAGATCACCGGTTTGCACAGCACAACATCAGGAAGATC